AATCCAATGTTACCAGGAAGTGGAATTGGAGGAATTTGGAACTGCCAGATCTATCTAAGATCAAATACAGTAGAAAAAATCTTGGTCACTTAACTTTCAATTGGCTGAGGAAGGATATATGATTGTCAACCTTACAAATGCTCAAGCTGATAAACTGCTTCCATACTGGTCACAATACAATACACAACACACTGATTTGCTTTTCTCCCACTTATGCTCCTATCTACCACCTTCTTTCTTGATAAAAATCAGTAGCAAACAACTTAGTATCATTGAGAGTTTGGGGGCTAAAACTCCCCTAAATGCAGCTATTATATGTTATGGCTAGAGATTATGGAAATTGTGGACCCAAACATTCAGGGATCTCTGGTTTGCATGCTTCAATTTAACTCTTGATACATTTTGTAACCAAATGATTCTTCAACATAGTGCTCATCCAACTTCTACTATGACTCCTGCTATTGTATAGAAGGATCTGCAACTATTCTGGGTGACACAATTTTCTAAAGAATCTCCAGCTAAATGTTAGTTTTGTGAGATAGCATTTTGGTACAGATTCTTGAGCTTTAAACCTTACCTGCAGAAGGTTTTCATGCTCTTAGATTTAATAAAAGATGAAGCTAAAGAATAGCTTCCTCAATTTCTGCCCAGTGGCTTCCTCTAAGTCATGTTAGCATTTCAAGATATCTGATACTTAATACAGATTTCTTAAAAAACAGAAGATAAACCTTAACAGTTCAGGTCCAAATAAATCAAAGGAAAAGTGTTGAAGCAGAGCCAAATAAACAGATGAATAATTTAAAGTACCTGAGGGGACAAGATTTTATCAAAGGAAGCAGCTTTGGAAAGAAAAAAATGATGTGATCAACAACCAACAGGAAGGGTGTGGCATACAGCTTCCTACAGTGTGCTATTTCAGGAGTAGATGGTTTGATTTTGTCTTAATAACAACAGGCCATATGCTAGAACAGCATTTTTTACATTACTGTCTTCCAGATGTGTTGGATCTAAAGACTCATAATCCCTGGCCATCATTGTCCTAGAAGCACCCATACCTTCCCTAGTTATTGCCCATGCTTCCATGAATATGTAATTCTGAGAGCCAATAAAGAAAGGATTAGCAATTTAAGGCCAATTCTTTTAGCTAGAGGAGGAAAGAAATGACTGCACTCTTCCAAGTTAGTTAAACCACAAAGCATGGAAATATTTTCTAGTAAGATATGAAGAAAGAGCAGTCCTCTATTGCTAGCATTCTTGAGCGATGCTGCTTGAGCACAAAGAATTTCAGCAGGCTTAAATCATAACTATAATTTATCATTCTAGATAAACAGATGACCACAGGAGAAATCCTTTTTGTACAGAACTGTATATGCTTTTCCAGTCTTGTTTCATTTATTGAGAAAATATTTTATAAATTCATTCTTCAGAAGGGGTTCTTACATCTTCAGAGTTCACATTAGCATATATCCTGACCTGGGGCGCTCATATTGCAGCCTTGGTTAAGAGGGCCCAGCAGAGATTATACTACCTGAGACTTCTCAGGAAACAACAACTGAATGAAAAACTGCTGGTGACCTTCTACTGCTGTACCATTGAGAGCATTTTGACCTACTGCACCTGTGCATGGTTTGCTAACTGCACAGTGGCAGACAGGAAAGCGTTCCAGAGGGTTACCATCACTGCCCAGAGGATCATTGGTTGCCCTCTCCTCTCTCTGGAAGAACTTTACAGCTCCCGCTGCCTTACGAAGGCTCAAAACATTCTTAAGGATCCGTCCCACCCGGGACATTCTTTTTTTGAATTATTACCATCTGGCAGACGGTACAGGATAATGAA